TGCACACCGCCTGACAACCCGCCAATTAGAGGGCGCGGAGCTGGGGCGGGGCGAGTGGATAATACTGGGAAGGGGAACAGAGGCTGGAAACTGCAGCGAGTGTCTCTGCGCCCTGCGTGCGGCTGGCAGCGTCTTTCAGCTGCAAGAATCCGCGATCTGTTCTAGGCCTGGGCTGCCGGACCCTTCCCGTACAGCTTGGGTCACAGGAAGTCCAAAGCGGCCTCAGCGACGTGAAACGCCCCAGGCTGCAGAGGACAGAACAGAACTTGGCAGAGTTCGGGATGTGCCGGACCAGGACTTGATCCACCTCCTCCTCCTTGCCCCTTACCTCCCACCCCAATTCAGTGGGCTCTGGGTCTCCTACTGTCAGCCCCCGATTTTCTGGCACGGGGTGGCGATCCCGATTTCTGTTTGCATGCACAGTTTGCAGCCTGAGAGCCAGATCCCAAAGCTGGATATCTTTTTACTCAGCTGCTAGACTGGGCCTCAAAGTCTTGGTGAGTGCTGTGATGTCTCTGGGGTGTCAGGGAGGGCAAAGGGTTTGAATCATCTTTCTTTATTATTTTTGTTTGACATGGATGCCTTAAGCTCCATGTACACAGAGCCCGCGCGACTCAGCCCTATGCTGCCCAAGTCCCTGATGCTGCCGTGGGCGTCTGTGGCTTTATGCCTAGTGTCCCTCTGGGGCTTTAATGAACAGCAGTACGTTGGTTTTCAATTGACTATTTGGGGGGAGGGGGATTATGAAAAGACCTCGTCAGGATCCTTGTGGTAGTGTTGGCAAATGGAGCTTTCGGGAAACATGGTCTGAAGGATCCTTTGTAATCAGAAGCATTTATGTCGTTATATTCATCATGTCCATACTAGTTGGGTATGGGGAGGCTTGACAAGTAGCCTAGGCCGGCTCAGGAGGACACAGTACTTTTGTACGGGAAGTCAGTAAGTTACTCGGGACTTGAGGTCAGGTGCTCACAGAACACTTGGAATTAATAAAATAAAACTCTTGTTGGCTTGTGGATTCCTGGGGTCCCTAGAGATACAAGAAAGACGCGTGTGGCCTGGAGGGGAGGGACATGTAGAGAACAGGGTAAGTCAAGGCAGGAAGCGGGCATACTAGAAGTTCTGGGCCCAAGACTCAGGGACCGTCCTGACGGCGGCGGGCGGGTCTTTGAGCGTCTTTGTGTCTCCCCACAGCGTGGGCAGCTGAGTCGAACGAGGCACCTCGCGCCATGGCCGACCGGCTGGCAGGCCCGGGAGCCGGGGACTGGGAGATCGACGTGGAGAGCCTGGAGCTGGAGGAGGAATGCTGCGGGGCGCCGCCGCTGCCATCGCCTCCCGGACCCAGCCCACCGGCTGCGGAGGAGGATGGCGAGGACGAGGAGGAGGACGACGACGAGGATGAGGACGCAGAGGAGGAGGGCGATCGCGAGGAGGCGGGCGCGTCGCCGGGGGTGCCAGGCGAGCCAGAGCAGCAAGGAGGACTGCCGCCGAGGCCATCGCCAATGCCTCTGGCGCTGCCAGCCACAGCGGGTCCCCCAGAGCGCGGGGTCATCGCGGCCAGCAGCGCGGAACCGCGCAAGCTGAGCCGCACGCCGAAGTGCGCTCGGTGCCGCAACCACGGCGTGGTGTCCTGTCTCAAGGGCCACAAGCGCTTCTGCCGCTGGCGAGACTGCCAGTGCGCTAACTGCCTACTCGTGGTGGAGCGCCAGCGCGTCATGGCCGCCCAGGTGGCGCTCCGGAGGCAGCAGGCCACCGAGGTGCGTACCCGCCCCAGACCCGGGGTGCGCCGCGCCCGTGCGTCCTGGGCCACAGTGGGTGTGCGGAGCTGCAAATGACTGGATGGGGCAGCTTACCCCAGCTCCTCGGTGGCTTAGAGTCTCGCGGCGCCTGGCACTTCCTGAGAAGGGTGGTGCGTTGTCTTCTGTGCCCATGCAGACCTGCAACATCAGGAGGGAGGGAAAGGCTCACTTGGGACGGATGAGAAGGTCATTTTTAAAAATACATATTTCAAAGTTAATTTTTGTGGAGGCAGGGGCCGAGGAGAGTGGTTGGCACAGTTTGAAGCATCCAGATCGAGCCTGGTCACTGCATCGCGAAAAAGCCGCACGCGGCATTCGGTGCCTTCAGTAGTCCACTGTCGCCTGCCCCTTTTAGAGATGAGACAAAAAGTGCGTGAGAAGCTAGGCGTTCGAGGTCAAGCGCTACCGTCCATGCGCACCGCCAAAGAACCCGCGTGGGGGACCCTCTGCCGCCTCCATCTGGGGCTTTGGTTGTAAGGTTATCTTCATTAGAGAGGCTGGGAGTTTATATTTCCGTGCGTTCTTGCACAAGGAATTCTTTGGTCAGGAAGGCTTCGCAGAGCCTCCCCCAGACTCAGGGAAGATTTTTATTTTTTATTTTTAAATTCCAGGTAGGTGTTGGGGATGGAACCCAGAGCTTCTTGCATGCTAGGCAAACTCTCTGACACTGAGTTACTTACCCAGCCCCAGGGAGAAGCTTTTGATTTTACCTTTTTGGCACCGAGGGGCTGGGAAGTAGGTCACTATATATAACAAAGTAAGTGTCTCCAAATGAAAGTTTCCTGAGGGCCCCAGAGAGCAAGCAAAACCCCAAAGTGGCCCTGGTCCAGTGTTGGGCATGAGGAGTTAGGTGTCACATGCCCTGCGCTCCTAAGCTTTCTTGCAGCCCACTGGGTTGGACCTGGATGTGGAAGGTCCCAGTAGCCTGCTGACCTGGTGGTGACAGGAGCACTGGTGGGTGGGTGGAGAAGGGGGGCCCCTTATTCTGAGTTCCATTGGATTTTACAGGCACACACAGGAGGACCAGCTTCTGCTCACTCCCCAGCACACCATCATCTCTGTCTTATTTTGGAAGAAACCCATCCTGTCTTACTGCCTAAAGGCAGGTCCTAGGTCTTCTCTCCTGATGTCACCTTATTTTTCACCACAGGTTTTCTGTTGGGAGGCTATAGGGTTACTGCTAGAGAAAGCCAGGGACCCTGCTCACCAGTGACAGACTTCCAAGGGAGCCACCAGCTGTTTGCCCTGTGATTAAATGGGGGTGCTCATATTAATTTGGTTGGAATAATTTTTCACATGGGATGGCGAAATAAATACATTTAGGCTGAGGAGGGTTCTAGATACTTTACCAATGCCCCTTCCTTCTTTCTCACACCTTTTTCAGGGCTTTATTAATTATGTTTCTTGTATTTACAGGACAAAAAGGGACTTTCTGGGAAACAGAATAATTTCGAACGCAAAGCAGTGTACCAGAGGCAAGTCAGGACACCCAGTTTGCTGGCCAAAAGCATTTTGGAAGGTAAAACAATGCCAAATTATTCCTTAGCCTTTAAATCAAGCTGAGTAACACTCATTTGGGCACATGCTGTATTTATTAAACTGTGAAGGGGTTGTCTTTAGGGGAAAGTAATTTTTATTAGAAAGTTTTCCTCTAGGAAGGAAACTATGATTCAGGAAAATGCATCTCTTTTGCCTGCTAAAGTTTTTGTCACCATTAAGAATCTTGATAATTTTGTTGTCTTCCTAGTTAATGGGTTAAGACAGAGTGCATGTGAAATTTGCTCCTTTGAGAAGGACATATTGTACACTACCAAGTGATCCTAGAGCAAATGTTTTGGAATGAAAGAAATTAATTAAAACCCTAACCTAGCTAGGCATATGCACTTTCCTTAGTTGTAGTGGGAGTAAAAGTCAAGCCAGGAGGTAACAGCTACCCAAGATCAACACTTCTAGTCTGGGGGCTCAACTTCAGACTCCACCCTTTTTCATTGTACTGTTTTCCTTCCTCAATAATTAGATAATTGCTATTATTTTACTTTGTTTGCCATCTTTGACAGTCAAGGTTGTAGAATCTGAAAACGACTTTAAATAAAATAAGCAAGGTAGAGGTTAATTTGAGCTGGGTGAAGTCTAATTCTCTCCACGTTTTCACTTTCTGGAAAGCCTGTTCTGTTAATTTTTCTTAATACATTACTGATTTTCTAAACATCTCAGTTTAGGTATGGAATTTATTTATTGACCTACTAAGTAATATGTTGAATGTATTTTCAATACATTTTCTTGACTTCTTTAAATTTTTTTTACATTCATCTAAAAGAAAGTTTATATTTGCTTTAATCACTGCCACTTCATAAAGTTCAGATTGAAAAGTAGATTTTTTTTTCTTAAAGTGGACATTTGAGTTCTGTTTTTTCTTATGTGGTTCTGAATTAAGTTGGTTCTGGATAGGTTTTAAAGTTTGTGTCTCACCCCATTCTGTGCACTTCTGACCTTGGAGAGGGTTCTCATAAATTTAAAATGAGTTTGGTTACAAACCGGGTAAGCAGATTTATAGCCATAGGAACCACGTTGATAAATTGAAATTTTGCCAAAGCAATTTGAGAAGGTTGAGGACTAAATGAATAGTAAATTCAAGTAAATAACTTCCTGGCGAACACTTGGCATAGAAATGGAAACATTAATTTTCAAATTTTATTTTATTTGCAAATGAGTACAATGGGTTTGTCACTATATAAACACAAATATCATAATGGATCCTTTAAACAAATTTGATAGTGGTGAGTGTTTGGGAATGATGAAATACTCAAAGTATTTTGTGCCACCAGAAATTCTATTTATGTTACACTAATCTTTGTTTTTGACTTCATCTCTATCATGAAATGTGTGACGATTTAATCTTTGGTCTAATGATTGCTTGTTTAACCATTATGGTATCTGGCCAACATGGTTGGAGCTTGGGAAAAAGATGCTTTAAATCTGTTATTTTCAATAGAGCAGGGAACCTTCCCTCCACATTTTGTTTTGTTTTGCTTTATTTGTACTGGTAGTCAGAGGAAGGCCTGGTTAAATTGTTCATTTCAGAGTGTGTTTGACTAGTTAACAGCTCTTTTCAATTTTCTGTGCTTCTCTGTTTCCTTAAGTCTTTTTTCTTTTTCTCCTCCACTAAACTCCTTTAACTTTCTTTTTCTTTTTTTCCTAGTTCTCCTTGGATTATTCTACAACTGTAACAATCTGTACATAATGACGCACCTTTAGAAAATAAAAGTGACATCAGCTCTAGGTATAGCTATCTTTTTTAATACTGAAAAAAGTTGACATGGATAATAAAACATTGACTGAGCCAGATGGGTAGCCTGTTATTAAATCAGTCAATAAAGTACACCTGTCAAAGCAGGCAAGCAAACAAAACTATACCAATAAAAACAACAGTAACAAAAAAATTAAAATATGGATATCTTTCCTCCAAAGGAAACCATCATGAATTGAGCCTATATTTTTCTTTCTGTATAAAAAATATTAGTGTTATAGAATTGTAAACAATTGTTCTATCTCTTTGTGATTTTTTTTTTTTGCCTGCTGGGTTTTTGGATTTTTTCTTCCCTTGATGTTAACATCTTTCCTATGCAATGTTTGCTTATTTTAGGCTATCGCCCCATAACAGCGGAGACTTACCTGGGAGGGACCTTACCTCTCCCTCCCCCAGTTAGTGACAGGATGAGGAAAAGAAGGGCCTTTGCTGACAAAGAGTTGGAGAACATTATGCTGGAGAGAGAATATAAAGAGAGGGAGATGTTGGAGACTTCCCAAGCTGCTGCCTTCTTCCTGCCCAACCGAATGGTACCTGGATCTGAATACAACTCCTATAAAAGTGCCTACAGCCCCACACCAGGGGAGCCAAGCAAGGATTTCTGCAATTTTTTGCCCACCTGTCTTGATTTCACCATGCAGTATTCAGGGTCTGGGAATATGGAACTGATTTCTTCTAATGTCAGTGTGGCCACGACTTACAGACAATATCCATTGTCCTCAAGATTTTTAGTTTGGCCTAAGTGCAACCCCATTAGTGATACCCTTCTCTACCAGCAGTGTCTGCTCAATGCCACCACCTCAGTTCAGGCCCTGAAACCTGGGGCCAGCTGGGACTTGAAGGGAACCCGAGTCCAGGAGGGGCTCAGTGCAGAACATGACATGATGTCTCCGAAACTGGAAGGTTCCTTGGTGCTGCCTCACACTCCCGAGGTCCAGACCTCGAGAAGTGACCTTCAGGGTCACCAGGCTGTCCCAGAGAGGTCTGCTTTCTCCCCACCCGGACAGAATTTCTCTCCCATTGTTGACACGGACTCTCTGGCAGCTCAAGGGCACGTCTTAACCAAGATCAGCAAAGAAAACACCAGGCACCCCCTGCCACTTAAACATAATCCATTCCACTCACTATTCCAGCAAACGCTTAATGACAAATCAGGTCCTGAGATGAAAACACCATTTGTCAAAGAGGCCTTTGAAGAGACCCCAAAGAAACACAGAGAGTGTTTGGTCAAGGAGAACCAGAAATACACATTTACAATAGATAGATGTGCAAAAGACCTTTTTGTAGCCAAACAAGTTGGAACAAAACTCTCTGTGAATGAACCGCTGTCATTTTCTGTTGAGTCTATTCTTAAGAGGCCTTCATCTGCCATCACTCATGTCTCTCAGTGAATTGCTGCTTACATGGGAAGCTGGATTTTCTGTAGACTCAGAGAATTCCTGCCATATGCTTATTTTTTTAAAGTTAAGATGTTTGTATAAAGAAATTTCTAATGTAAATGATGATGATTCCTACAAATTCTATGTATTCACCTGCATGTACCTTTTCTTATCACATAAATATATTTAAAGTTAGAAATTGCTTAATGTGCAAATTGTAAAGTTCCATGCTTTACACAGCATTTCAGAAAGCAATAAATTCAGCACTATCTTCTAATGACCCAGGATTTGCTGAAGCAAATACATGTCTCTGTCTAGATGAAAAGGTTAATGTCCTTGAAATGTTCTTTATTTTTCTATAATTCTATGTATTTTCAAGTGATCTTAATGGTCACTGGGGTCATAGGATAACTCTTAAAATGCTTTAGTTTTGCACTTTTTTTTCCCTTTGCAGTGGTGTGGGTGCGGTAGCATAGATAGAGTAAGCATTCTGTCACTGAGCTATATCCACAGTCCTCCTTTTGCATTTTGAAGGACTTAGAGGCAAAAACAAACAAACAAAACAAAAAGCTTTAAGAAGACTGTTGGGGCTGTTTGCGTGTTTATAGAATCATAATTTCATGTTGTTGGACAAAGCTGAATTAATTTGGAGGGAAATCAAATGTAACATCTCATTCATATGTTCTTGGCATAGATTTCTTTTAACTCTCTGGGGCCCAGTTTCTTCCTCTGGTAGGGCTGAGTACGGATGCCCTCAAGCCTTCTTCTTGGAAAAGGAACATCCCTTTGAACATTTCTACTTCCTTTGAGAATTCTATGACTTTAGGTTGGTGGAAGTCACTAAGTAGGTTCCCTTGTTGGTTCAGATCACAGTGGTGCCAGCGTGCTCTTGTGTTAGTTTACTGTTTCAGAAGGGCTGGTGACAGCAGGCATTTAGATGCAGGCCAAGTCACAATTCTCAGCTAGTCCTTGAGTACCAGTTTATGCCTCTCACGTTTGTACCATTGTCAAGGTTTTCAATGTAGCTTTCTTCTGAGAGAAAAATATTTCTTATCCAAATGGCTTTAGCTGACAGTTGCTGAAGCATGCAGATGCTCATCACAGCATGAGGGAGTCTTAACCTCTTTCTCCCCTGTTTTTAAGCTCCTGTTACCCTCTTGTTTTGCTCAATGAAATGTTAACTGTTGTTACATAAAATAAGACATTTATAAGAGTATTAAATTCATTCCTTAAGATCTCACTTGTGAGGCCCAGCATGGTGGTCCATGCCTTTAATCCTATTCTCAGAGGTAGAGGCAGAAGGATCTGGAGTTTGAGGATAGTTTGGCTACATAGCAAGGCCCTTTCTCAAACAAAACAAAACAAAACAAAACAAAACCAAATCAAACCAAACCAACCTTGGAGCAACTTAATCCTACCTCCTACTCCACAAACAAACATCTCTAGGGCTGGAGTTAGGGCTCAAGTGGCAAAGTGCTTGCCAAGCAAGCACAAGACCCTGAGTTTAAACCCAAGTACCACAAGAAAAATCTCACCTGTGGACCCCAAATAAAGTTCTAAGATGTGATATTCATCTCAATATAGAAAACAAAGAGCCAAATATCTCACCTTTAGTGCTGTCATGGGGGAGGTCTGGGTAACCAGAACACTAGAGTGGGGGTGTGTGGAATGTGCCAAGTTATTTAGCAGTTTAAGGATTTTCTTTCTTGCTCTTGAAAGCACTTAAAATTATTTTAAGATGGGTTTGCTACTGATGAGCTCATGTAAACCTCCAGGGGTTTTCTGAATTGTTGCTTAAAATTAGCATCAATTTCAAAACCAACAAGCCAAAACTTAGGTTGATTTTCAGTTTGTACTTGTAAAATAATACTTGGTTTTGTTGAGTCAAATTTACTTATTTTTACTATTGCAAGAGCCAAGGGAATGGAAGTTTGCCAGAGGAAAAGAAAATGAAAGCAGACAGAGATTCCAATAGCTAGAAGATTATCATTAAGTGGAAAAAGTGTTTTCCAGCCAAGCATACCCTGGCATTAGAGACAAAAATCTAACTCCAGTTTTCCCTCCCAGTCATTTCTGCTTTATCTGTATAGTCACTAATTTTTGTCTTTGTGTAGGAAATTTATCTATTGTGTTAAGTGTTAAATATAAGCTTAGCATTGAGTCACACTACTTCAGAAATAATGAGGGGAAACACATTAGAATAAAACCACATAAAAAAGCTGGGTGCTGGTGGCTCATACCTGTAATTCTAGCTACTTGGAAGGCTGAGATTGGGAGAATCACAGTTCAAGGCTACTTGGGGCAGTGAGTTCATAAGACTCCATCTCAACCAATAATTGAGTGTGCCTCATCTGGGGAAGGGGAGCAAAACAATTTGCTACACCCCATCTCAATGGAGATGGGCATGGTGGCATGTGCCTGTCATCCCTATGATGGCAGAAAGCTTGAAATAGTAGAATTGCATTCCAGGGTGTTTGGGGCAAAGAGTGAGACCCTATCTCCAAAACAACTGGAGCAAAAAGGACTGGAGGTGTGGCTCAAGTAGTAGAGCACCTACCTAGCAAGTGTAAAGCCCAGTTTGGTCAAAACAAGCAAGCAAGCAAACAAACAAACAAATAAACAAATTAAAAAAATCCCAGTGAGAAGGTGTTCTTAAAACAAACGTGTTACTCCACTTTTTGTGTGCTTTCTTACTCCTTTTTTTTGTATACTTGTATTTGTCGGATTTTCCCTTTTGTATTCAGTGAATATATTGAGACCTGTTTTCTGTCCTGTTTCTGTATAATTTTAATTCCATTTAGTGAATCCAGTTAGCTGTTTTTTCTCACATTACTGGTGACCTGAATTTTATTGTTCTTGAACATTTATGAGAGTTCATCCCTCATAAACTATGCATTAATATACTATGCATTAGTTCTGCTGTAATAATGAATTCTTGAAATTTCAAACCTATCAGAACTACCATCAGGCACTTCATAAGAGTTTTGTACTTGACCCTTTGCTTTTTAAAATTGTGGTATTTCCATGAAAGACTTTGAAAATCTTCAAAGAACGCTATCATTTACATATTAAATCAAATTGTGGTTCAATTTAAGTATTTTCTATGCTAAAGGCAGTACATGAACTTGGCTTTAATCATTTTTGAGAATATAAGTGATAGCAAAAACATGCACCTTTTCCTTAATTTAACTCATAATACAATAATGCAGCTTAAATGACTTGGGTTCCTCCCATTTCAATTGATTGTTATTTTTTGCTCTATTTGAGGGTCTCAAAAGTTGACGTCAGTACTTCTCACACTTGAAGGACAATCAGCTTTCCTGGGAATCCTGGTAAAATGCAGATTCTGATTCCCTAGGACTGATGAGTCTGGGATTCTGTGTGCATAACAAACTCTAGCTCTTGATGCTGCCAGTCTTCAGACCACACTTCAAGTAGCAAACATTTACATTTCTGTTATTTTAATGCATGTTAGTGCAATCTGCTGTGGATTTGGGGTTCTAATCCAGTAACAGTATTATTAGCATGAATAATTTAATATGCATGAATATTAAAAGAATTCCCTTTCTCCTAACCCTTTGGTAGCTGAAGTAGGATAAGACCTGGCAAACACATACAGTACACAAGCTTTTCTCCACTGTTGTCTTCCTTTTTTCCCTAATGTAGAATATGTATATATATGACTATTCTTGTGACTGGTTTATTTCAGTTAGCATAATGTCCTCAGGGTTTATCTATGTTGTAGCATGTGTCAGAATTTCCTTCCTTTTAAAGGTTGAATAATGTTCCATTGCAGACACACACACATACACACACACACACATCACACATACATACAATGCCACATTTTGTGTATTCATTTATCTATTAAAAGATACTAGGGTTGCTTCCAAATTTTGGCCATTGTAAAAAGTGCTACTATGAAAATGAGTGTATTAATGTGTTTTCTGTTGTTATAACAAAATACCTGAGACTGGTAATGTACAAGGAAAAAAGATTCATTTATCTCATATTTTGGAGACTGGAAGTCGAAGATTGGTCAGCCTTTGACTATTTTACAACATGGTGTGCAGTATCATGGTAGAAGCACATGCAAGAGGAAGGGAGAAGTCAAATGACAAAAGAACTACAGGGAACAGGCTTATTCATGTTATAACAAACTGCTCTCATGATGAACTGACTGGAGGCCATGAGAACTATCTTCTGAAGATGGTGACCCCAGTGACCTAACCAACTTCCATTAGGCTCCACCTCTTAAAGTGGAGCCTACACCTTAACACCAACACACTGGGAAGCAAGTTCCCAGCACATGAACCTTCAGGGGACACATTCAAACTGTAAAACCATATCCAAACCATAGCAGTGTGCAGACATATCTTTGAAATGCTACTTTCAACTTATTTGGGTATATGTGGTCCCCTTTTCCTCACTCAATCCTCACTGCCCATTTTACCTGCTTCCTATCTTTAGGAACTGAATTTTCACAGGTACACATCCTTCCTACGCTCTCTCTCCCTCAGCATGTGAGACATTTCCACTCGACATTGGTGTCATCCAGAGAGGCTCCAATACCAGTTGTGTACCTTTAACTATGAGCGTAAGTGTGTTATCAGGTCATCTGCACTTAGAAGTTAAATTCCAGTTGTGTAATGAAAGACTGTAACTGGTATTAAGAAATGTTCCAGAATTCCTTAAGTAGAGTCTCAGAAGAGCTAAAGAGCAAAGAAATGGCTGAAGGTCAAGATGAAGAAATATGAAGAATTCACAAGTCCTTGAAGAATACTAAAGACATCACTTAATGTCAAGGCTGGGTTTTCAATTGGGACTTGAATTATTACAGTTCATTTGATTTCATTAGTTTTGGATTAATTTTCTTAGTTTCTGTTCTAGGTCTACCACTTAGGCTTATTTTCATAACTAGGGTCCAATTTGTAGGGCTGATAGTTCTTGAGATGACTGGACCCTGCATGATACAAACTTAGGCCTGTGGCACCCACTTATATTTATTTTAATAACTAGAGTAATTGTTAATTTAATGACTACACTTTTATCCTGCTTGGTCCTTTGGTTGTTTTATTTATTTAGTTTTGGTGGGACTGGGGTTGGAATTCAGGGCTTCATTCTTGCAGAGAAGGCACTGTACCTCTTGAGCCACCCCTCTAGTCCTTTTTGCTCTGGTTATTTTGGAGATGGGGTCTCGAGAACTATTTGCCTGTGTTGTCCTTGAACCACACTCCTCCATTCACAGCCTCCCAAGTAGCTAGGATTACAGGTGTG